ATATATATATATATATATATATATATATATATATATATATATATATATACTGATCTACACGGTGGATCAAAACGAACTACTTTTGTTGCTATTTTCATTAAAATTTATTTGTATGAGATGATTGGGTCACCTGGACAAAATATCAAAAAATCCGGCTTTTGCGTGTACATGGATTTTTTTTTTTTTGTTTAATGAGATATATATTATCGATGCATGTTAAGTGCGTTGACTCACGCGATGGATCTAAATAACACAAACTCCTTTATTTACATTACAACGAGCTTTAGAATTTCATCATACATACGTAGTAAAATACAATTATCCTAGATATGCCTAAATACATAAATTTTATCAATTCACGAAATACAACAGACATTAAGATTGAGAAAAAAAGTTATAAGTTCTTAGTGAACATGTAATTATTATATGCAATTTTTATAAATATAATACAGTTAAGGCGAAGATGGTTCTCTAACGACAACAACGACGTAGTAAAAACAAACTTTTTTAAGCCCATCATTGGAATCGTGATCAATGTCAACGTATTTTTAGTCCCAGATTCTGAAGGGTAAAAGAGACCCTGACATCCTAAATTTTTAATGAGGTAAGTATTTAAATAAATTCTTTATTAACATAATATATTTCAAGAAATTAAAATATCAAAGTACGAGCACTATTTTAATGAACATTACGCACGAGAGACTATTAATTATTTATATTTTGTAATTATCTATAAAAGTATTATGTAAGTCAATAACCTTAATTTATCAACAAGAGGCAGATATTTATCCATTAAATACATAACATTTAAAAATGTAATATCGTTACTTAAACAAAAATATATACATATACATATATATATATATATATATATATATACATATATAATGTTAGCATTAAAACATTGTTTATCGTTTACAAAAAATAAATATCATTAATCTTTTGTAGAAAAAATATTTACAAAAAATTGAAACATTTTCCTTCTTTAAAATTATTTTTATCTAGAGTTGCCAAGAAAATATATTGGTAGAGAAATGTTTAGAAATTCATTAACATAGTAGTAGCAGTAGTCTAATTAAATGTCTAAAATTGATAAAATATGAACATTTAAAAATAAATATAATTAATAGATGAATTGCTGAAATGTATAATATCCTATCAGTTATTGTTATCTAAGTTAAAATAATTTATCGTAAAATCAGGCCCTGACGTAGCCTTCGATTCGTACAATTTATCAATCAATGAATTTTATACAATGCAAATTTCCAATTAAAAGTGAAAAAGAATAGTTAATTTTATGAAAATGAAAATAATTAAGAAAGAATTTGTAGATGAATAGACTAAAAAGTATTTACTTTTTAAAAAATACAGGTACAATGTGATTAAAAATGTAAAATTCATTCCTCATTTGAAATAAGTAATAAATCTTTATTGAAATGCTAATGAAATAGCTACAACTAACAATTGACTCACACTCTATCAAAAAATTGATAAAAGTAAATTAATAGATGTATAATAAATTTCCTTGAAAAATTAAGGAAATCTATACACTTTTACATAAAAGTATTTTAAAGATGTTGAAGAAAAACAAAAAAAATGAAGGTTTTTCGTAATTGACGATAAATGTTTGGCCATACTTTATTTACCATTCTATTATGTACGATAGATGAGTACGTAAAATAAATATTGAAAGCATAATAATAAGTGAGCTATAAACAATTTAAAAATTTAAAAATCATTTATATATATATATATATATATATATATATATATATATATATCATCATCACTTTATAATGATCTTATAATATTACTAGAGAATAGATTTTAAATGTTCTATAAGATAATTTTTAGGCAACACATAAAATAATTTTTTATTTAAAATTGTGAAATAAAGACTGTCATTTTTTAAAAACATTGCTTCCAAAATATCTTCTTTGAACTTCCAGTCTTGGAACCTCTATCAATTTTAATTCCATAGATTTGCAGTAGAAAGTGTGGTTTCTGTTATTTATTATTAAATTGGACACTGCCTCAGCTTAACTATTTCAACTTAAAGTATGAATACCTATAAATAGAATTTTTACCGAAATCTCACCGTTAGTACTTATTACTTAATTTTAGTAAAATCAATTACTGCAATTGTGAATATTCGAAAAGTATACTTGACATCGAGTGCCAAAAATACCCTATAGTATTTGTTAAAATAACCTAATAAAGTATAAAAATAAAATTCGTTACACATTTATTAGACGCTGGCCATTCTTGTCAGCTTAAGGGTGTGTAATTTTGTGCTCTGCTAACTTAGACGCTCTCAAACTGAATTTAATAATAACATCTGACAATTAAACTCAACATATTAGATTCTGTAAGAGAATGCATAAGACGCTCTTGTAAAAGACGCGAGAACATTTGACTGGTGTTTAAGTAAAAAAAGCCACGGTTAACGGTGAGAAGCCATTGCAAATTATTTGTATTTTCTAATACTTTCTCTTCGAGTGAAAATATCGTTAGTCTAAGAATAATCTATCTACTATATATTCTAGAATGGAATTTTCACATTGCGCATATAGTAAATCCATGTGAGAAATGCAATGTGCGTGGAAGTTAATCGCTGGGTTTCGCTAAATTGAGCACTTAAATACATTCGTATTAAATCGCTTCGAATCATTTCGTTGTTAAAGCAAAGAATTTCTATTTTATTTAAACGCAAAACATTTAGCTTTGAATGAGTTACGAGTACATTCTATCGTCTATTTAATACAATAGTCATTCGTTTAATTATAAATCTAATATTTCTAATAATTTTACATTTTTGTATCTCATCATCTATCATGAGATGAGAATAATTAATTATTCTTATTATCGTTAATTGCTTTTAATCGGCTTTATACGCATTGACAATTGCATGTTATTTCAATCATCTCGAATCAATGTCGATTAGAAACATTCTGTTTTTTTTTTTTTTTTTTTTTGGAACGACGTGTTACAATTTTAAAATATTTATCAGAAAATGGCACGAATATTCATAATGACAAAGTTGATTTATTTTAAAGTAAATTGTTATTTGAAATTTTTCTCCATTAAAACAATTATTCTTATTTGATTGTTACATTAATTGTAGAATATCTACCGGAGTTTACTGATTATCGAAAAAGCTTGTTATAACTTCAAATTTTTTATATTTATAGTACTTAATTTTTTTAAATAGGAAATTGGTACTTGACATGTAATTAATAAAAATTAATCTTAGTCGACACTGTTCTTATTGATAGTATATACAAAGATATTTATTTTAAAATTTTACCACACTTGAGAAACCAAGATCACTAGCATATTACTATATACAATACATCGCTAGAGTTATGCATAATATATATATATATATATATATATATATATAAGTTTAATTTATTTACGTAAATGAGACGAAGAGCATATGATGTAATGTTCTCGATGTTGATAATTTTAAACAATGCACCATGATTAATCAATCCAGCTTAGTTCATTGCAAACTTCTGCTCTTATGATTTCTTATTAAATAAATTAAGCACATTTTATTATAGTAGCGATGCTTCGGGTTTATTTAACCAAGATGCGTTGGCCACTCAATAGTGAGTTAAAAAAAGGCAAATGTCAATAATAAAAATCACTCCCAACAGGATCAGTCGCATTAATGATAAACATCCGATGAGTACCCGAACAATCTATTTCCATACATTGGAATGATCGAGTCCACGGACAAAATTTCCCACTAAAGGTGGCGTCATTCACCCTCATTCGCGTCGACACATTTGCTCATTCTCTTACTCTCTCACTCTCTCTCTCTCTCTCTCTCTCTCTGCCTCTTGCAAAAAGCTCAGCTCGCGATCGAACTCTCGTTGAAAGTGAGTGCAATCCTGGCAAAGCGAGAGCATGTACGCGAGTCAACGGGAAGTGCAAGCTCTCTTGGCAGTTGCGAAAGTTCGCACTCGAGTGTCGCTGGGAGAGGAGGCGGTCGGATAAGCTAGTAGCTCGAAGACAAAAGCTCGCCGAGGGAGGAAAAGGGCGCACCCGTCGTGAATAGGGCGTCTGGGCGAAGGGCCAGAAGATCCTCGGCCGTCGCCGCGTAATAAAGTAAATTCGCACCCGCTCGCCCTCTACTCATCTCCATCCCCCTCCCTCTCCGCCCTTCCCCACCGCCCAATACAATACGCCCCACCTATGGCCCCTACCGTCGCCCTCCATCCGTCGCCCCGCGCCCACCACCCTCGCCGTCGGTTCGTAACGGCACGTGACACGGGAGAGAGAATCCGGCGACGGGTTGTGGCGGCGGCGGCGGCGGCGGCGGCGGCGGCGGCGGCGGCGGCGGCGGCGGCGGCGGCTCGGGATTCTAAATTCGTCCGGCTGCGAGTCGAAGAGGAAGAGAGAAGCCCCGCGGTAGAGCCGATAGTCGATAATCGCCTCTGCTCCACGGTGCCTCGGTCCCGTGTCGTTGCGCCAGCCGCCGATCGCTCGACGAGTCCGAGAGGATGATCCGCGTGGACGAGACCGACCCCGTCGGCGGTAAGCTCGGGGCTGCTTCGGGGGTGTGGTGGAAGGGGGGGGGTGCGCCGGAGGATAGGCTGAGTTCGCCCCCGACGCCGACAGCAAAGTGGAACGCGCCGGGCTCAACTGGGTCGCCGGAAATAACGGAAGACTCCGTGAGTTCCGCGCGGCCTATTATTAGCGCGGGAGCGAGGAATTCGCGGCGGCCTCCAGTGTTTACCGGCCTTCTCCTCGCCACGACTGGGACTGGGAGCTGGGCTGGGCTGGACGGCGAACGCGGGGCCGGCCACGATCGGGCCCTCCATCGAGGCGACCCGAGGGGTGGAGGAGCCGATCCGAGACTTCCGGTGCCGGGCGCGCGACTAACGACGACGGACAGCGGATTCGGGGATTAACGCGCGCGACTAACATCCCAATCAAACTCAGGTCTGACGTTCTTCCGCCCGCTACCTTACATCGAGGTGTCGAGATGCCCACGCCAGTCGGGATTTTATATTATTTTAAGAGAAATAATTTATAAAGAGGTAGATCGAGCCTGGAATGCACCTGGGCTGGGTTATAATCAGTCCTCGGATAATGGCCCTTAGGTCTACTTGTCGGACTCTCGGTACCTCGACACTGCGACCGGCTTAATTCACCTGCTTTCCCGTCACGTCGGGCTGTCTGCACCGCCTGCATCACCGAGACACGCGCTGTTTTGTCTAGGACCGTCCGTTATTTTTAAAGAGGACCATATCTTCACGAGTTGGGCCACGCGAATAATAGTTACGCTTTTAGTGGGCTTGATGCTTTGCTGCGGTCGGAATTCGGTTAACGTAGACGATTGTCGGACATTTCATCGTTGCCTAAGGTCGTACGACCGACCATCGCGTTGCGTCGTCGTCGATTCGAAAACCTATGGAATTCGCCGATACGAATTGCGGAGATCTATTTGCGATTGGCTAAGCGAATTTTGGAAACGATGTCTCGTATTTCTCGTACAATTTGTGCGCGAAGAAGCTAATTAATTGAGACATCTGCCGGCATTTGCTCGAATGGGGATGAATCGAAGCTCTCCATTCCTCCACGTAATTTACTTAACGCATTTATCATGATGTGAGTCGTTATCGCGAGCGCCGCTTGATGTAATCCAATGTAATGACGATCTCCATGTGGGAATAATCGAGCAGGATGGTAATTTGCCAATCCGGCAATGGTCGTAGAAAGTATTGAAATGCAGCTACGCTCTAACGGTGTACAAACAATCGTTTATACAAATTGTATAAATATTTCTCATGCCATGCTTCGAGCTTCGTAAATAACGAGTAATTATGGCAATCGCAGTCTTTATAAGCCCATAAATTTTACGAGCATAAGTATATATATATATATATATATATATATATATATATATATATATATATGACATTGCGTAAGAAGTTTTTCGAATCGAAACGAATAATTGCTGATAAATGCGATGCGTCGCAGCCGCCCTGCCAATGTCGCTCGATCGACGCATTAATAATATCTTGATTAATTTGTCAATTTCAGAGATAGAACCGAGCTTCCCCTACAGAGACGTAACTGTGCGAAAGGGCGTAGAATTCAAGAAGCACTATGACATCCAGTCCGAGATTGGCAGGTACGTCCACGAATCACAGTGACAGTCCCATGTCCCATCGAAAGTCGAGATGAGAAAGTAATTGCCGAGTGAAAAGCGAAATCGCCAATCGAATCGTCACGCCGTACTTTGCCAGGCAATCGAACGTTGTTATTCTCGCTGGAACGATCCGCGTACTTTTATTGCGCTATAAAAATATATCCGAACAACAAATCGGACAAAAAATTCGAAACGAAATCCGGCATATTGTATTCCGAAGTAAATTTACTGGCTCGGTTAAAGCAATAATAGACGTGGTGCGAAAATAGTAAAGCGGTAAGGTATTCGAAGATATTTAAGAATCCCGTGCGCGTGGAAGTTGTAAAGTTTGCGAATTTTTAAGAGTTAGCGATGCGTGTAGATATTGAATTTAGTAGCCAAGATTTTTGGCCAATTGCGATGCGCATCAACGCGAGAGAGAAGAGAGAGAGAGAGAGAGAGAGAGAGAGAGAGAGAGAGCGAGAATTCTACATACGCCGTGTAAATGGAATGTTGAATACTCTCTCTCTCTCTCTCTCTCTCTCTCTCTCTCTCTCTCTCGCGAATCCCTAAAAAATTGTTGTGAAAAATGCACTGCTTGTGTTGGAAGCGTTGCCCGTCCGATATTATCGAGAATATGAAAATGGAAAGGTCTGAGAACCTGGACAACCTGTTCATAGACGCGAATTCTCCTTATACACCTCCCAGCTCCCGACCCCCTTGAGACCACGTCCCGTACCATGATACATCTAGGGAGGAAACAAAAAAAGACAGCCTTCGCGAGTAATAAGTACGAGCGCAAAGCTTTTCCGTCCGGGTAAAAGTACTATATTTATCTGCAGTTCGGTGATCCGATCTCTACAACACGAGTACCCAAGACTTCGGTTAGGATTTCGAATTAACTATACGTTAGGATGTAGGATAAATGGTGGAATTATTATTATTATTATTATTATTATTATTATTATTATTATTATTATTATTATTATTATTATAATTATTATTATTATTATAATTATTATTATCATCATCATCATCATCATCATCATCATCATCATCATCATCATCATCATCATCATCATCATCATCATCATCATCATCATCATCATCATCATCATCATCATCATCATCATCATCATCATCATCATCATCATCATCATCATCATCATTATTATTATTATTATTATTATTATTATTTTATCGTTATTTTATCGTTATTGTGAAATTTCATTGTTTTGGACGAATAAAAGTATTGTCGGATCAGAAGTTGCCAAAACAGTCTCCTGATGAATGTTTTCACATAATGCATGAAAATTCAGACGTTTGACTTGAAATATTACTGTCTATGAATACATTTATCAATCTTTTTGAAAATCAACTAAAATGTTTATTTTATTGTATGAAGAAAGTTCGTATTATCCACCTGTAACTATAATTCAACATTATCTGCCTCTTCTTTCATTCATCGGACATTTTTATTATTGTTCTATTTTTATTGTCATCGTAATATCATGAAATTGTACAGACGATTTAATGATTTCTCCATTATAAACACTAATTTCATTCCCTACATTGACAAGCCGTTTAATCGCATATCAATAAGACCCATCGATTTTCTCTATCAAAGCAATATTTATCTTTACGTAAAAATTGTATTTTAGCATATTTACGTTCCTCAAATAGTTTTAGCAAGCATTGCACATTAATGGTACAAATAATTCAAAGGTATGAGTAATTTCGAAAAGCCGAAAAATTATATCATTTTTAATATTATAACAATTATATTCGTGAAGCTGATTCGCATGAATACTAGAATAATGTTGTTAAGAATAGTAATTAATATGTGGTATAATTAGCTTTTGGTAATTTCAATTCTGAAAATACGTCAAAGTTAAATATTTAAAAGCGATTTCTTACATCAAGCGATAAATGCGAATAAATTATAAATGAATGAATTTAAAGAAAAATAATTTCTTATAATCGTATTAAAGTGATTAATTAATTTGAGAGAAAATTAAACATTAAATGTCTGTTGAGTCGATTGAATATCAGGAAAATGTACGAAAATTGTACTATGGCTATTCTTCCCACATAAGAATGTAAAGCTAATGGCACATCACATATTTCGTTAAATTCATTAAATCATTAATACATAATTGAATTGCAATAAATAATGTTTTCTTGAGAGAAAAAATTTTGGAATAGCTACAATGAGCAAGTAATAATGCGTAATAACGAGAAAAGAAATATGTGTAATTGGAAACAAAAATCTCTATTAATACATTTATATATCTTTGATGTTTTTAATACGGATACTACATTGAAGTAGAATGAAAAATGCATATTTATACACACACACACACACACACACACACACACACACATATATATATATATATATATATATATATATATATATATATATATATATTTCTTGACTATAAATGTATTAATATAGTGTAAAAGCAAGTATGTCTTAACGTTTTGTATCCCACGTTAATGAAAGATGGCCAAAGTGTCAGAAAATCAACGTATCTTTATATTTGCAAGATGTGCCAAGTGCCTCACTTGTGCATTATAGACGAAAATTGATGATTAATATACTGAAATGGATGAAGCTTTTGTTTAAGAGTACCTTTTTCGAATGGCATAAGACACATATAAAATAGGAAATATAAATTAAATTGATTTTGATTAATTGCGTGACAGCATATCCATGTAAATAACTATCAAACATACGACATCAGTTTTCTTTTACACATTCGTAAAGATTACACGCACACAAAAACATAGTAATAGTATTAATAATAACAACAACAACAACAACGACAACGACGACGACGATGACGACGACGACGACGACGACGACGACAACGACAATAATAATAATAATAATAATAATGACGAGGATAACTGTAAGAGGAGTAATAGGAATAATAATAACAATAAAAAAAAAGAATATTTTCACTGATATTTTTCATTCAGGATATTCTATTTAATTTAATAATATTTTATTAAAATAGATGATATATTAATTATTATTATATCGTTGATCAACTGCATTATTATTTATTATTAATCGAGATAAACTATACGATACATCTATCTCTTGTACATTTAACAAAATCGAAATACCAACGTCAACAGCTAGTACATATTAAATATAAATTTATTGGTTTCTCAGTACGCAGCCTTTATAACGCAAAAAGGTTAAAAATACATTTTAGATTTCATTATCGTTTAAATTTAAAGTTTTTTTTTTTTTTGTAAGAAGCAAGATAGGTATTACATTAAAAACATATTTAGCTTACCACTGCCTCACTAAGCAAATACATTGCATTATGTTGTATAATATTACATACGAAAAAACTTTGAAAAAAAGTATTTAAAAAATTTAGCATACGATATGGAATTTCTATTATCATTCAGATAATACCAAGTACATTGAGGATCAAAATTGAAATAATTATGAAAAATTATAGTTATAAGATTTATATTACGCCATATAGATATCTCTCAAATTGATCAATGTCTAATTAAGTGAAGATCTATGAAAATAATGTTTATCACGAGGATTGCTTTGTATTTAGGTAGACGTTACTTCCATGAGTAATACTTGCATGATAAACAACCTCGGTAACTGCTTCTATATTTTCACTTATAAATAGAATTTATTTTTCGACGCTTATATGGGAAACATCAAAGTCTTGGATGTTTGTAAAAATTTCTTTGAAAGTCAATTCGAGACGCGATATATAGAGTGAGACGGCTTACGGTCTTCCCATTAACGGCTGCAGACAATTCGTAAAATATTTCTGCCAGTGAAAGGGGAAAAGACAACGACAACGACAACGACAACAAAACAAAACAGGAAATCAGGAATTAAAAAACAACTTTTTACAATAATTTTAAAAGAATGTGAATTATGCAGCGCTATTTTGTCTATGATGAATTTTCTAAAATGACTTATGCTCCTAATAAGATCCCTGTGATCTTCATTTACACGAAGAATAAGTCAAAAGCGAATGTGAAAAGCGCATGAGGCCTAAGGAACGACGAGTTGACAAAGAGAAGCCAACATTCCCGATGTCGTTAACATAAATCTCACTTTCGTATTGATTATCCTACTAGGATAATTCTCATGACAAATGGCTTTCCTTGTGTTAACGAATGCTCGTCTCGTTAAAACGGTAACATTACAAAGCTGAGTAATAGATCGATTATCGATAGCATCGTTATATCTAAATCCTACGATCGTCTAGTTTATTATTTTTATAAGCTTTTAGTTTATTTACATAATGCGTAAGCATTAATCATGTTTATGATAATATAGATGAAAAAAAAAAAAAAAAAAAACAAAAAAAAAAAAAAAATTAATGTCTAAATATTATCCCCGACTTGGACTAACAATGTCAATACGTAAACAGGCAACATATCTAAATATGGAAATTCAATTCTTGCAACGACTTTTTCCCACCGACGAGCTTCGGATGCTTAACGTTTAGAGCGCGCCATTTGTCTAGCGGTTATTGCGAGATCTACCGCGCAACCGCGAGAGAATACATTTGCATTCCAATGCGAGTAGAATGATGATGCGCGTAACAAGTTTTGAACGATATTATTATACAATAGAATTTGGCCAAGTGGCGCGAGCGGGGTGGCAATTGTAGTTGCCAGCGAAGGAATTTCATTTAAAGCGCAATTCATTCATTCGTTTGCTTATTATTCGTAACAATCGAACCTGAGGCATTATATTTGGCTAGAAATCATCCTGCATAACTCATTTTGCTTCACGAATAATTAAAGACGTAAGAGCGTTTATTTGCATAGCTTGCGAGATAAAGTGCAGCTTGCGCAAGGGGTGATGAAATTCTTCGGCGGTCCTTCTTTTCTTATCGGATGGCTCGAAGTTCTACGTCCGGTTGTTTTACGACCGTGAACTTGGCACGGCAACAAGCATTCGAACGTTCAATACTACTGGTTGGTTTATTTTTTTATTCGTTTCGTTGCCCCTTTAAATCCGGCCGATAAGCTTTATTCGTCCTCGCATTCGTTTGGCATTGTTAAAAAGAAACGAGCTATTGCATGGAAAACATTATATTCCCTAGCCATTCGTTATCGTAAAGTATCGATTGAATGACAGAGGACAGTCGAATTGCAATTATCCTATAGCGTCTCCGACGTTGGCAATTATTTCTCATCTTTATCTTTGATATATCATTTGAACATAGGACAAACTGGTCATCCATCTGAACTGAGATGGATGTTATATCATATTCATGAATAATGGACTAAAATTTTCGTAATATTTCCTTGCCTATGAAGAACTAGATGCTAGATGCTAGATGCTAGATGCTTAATTTTGAGAAGAGGGGGAAATAAAATTCTAATGTTACATGCGTATTGCAGCTTATTGGTATGGAGGATAAGCAATAACATTCGTATTTAGTCTAAGAGCGTCTTTTTTATAATATATACGCCTTCGTTTATCATTTATTATTAAATTCTTTCACATTATTATATCTGGCCGATTGTCGAAGTCATACATCGTCGATCCCCTATGCAAAAGAAGTAATCTATTTGATTGTTAAATTTGTTATTATCGAGACATCGTTAACATTTACCAATGTTCCCATTTATCCCGCATCCTTCGAATCCTGCTATGAAATTGGATTCACGGGCTTTTAAATGACTGGGTGTCTCGGTTGATCATTACAAGGGCATTCAGGCAGTCGTTGCCTTCCAAAATCTTGGGTTTTGGCTGTTGTCTTCGCTTACCGAAATGCCGAGTACTCCGCGAGTGATTCGGCGAATTCCATGCATTTCATGCCTTGCCGGAAGTGCGCGAAATATCGTCAAAGTGTGAGAATGCGGTAAGTTGGTACCGCACGAGGTAACGAGGGCCAGTTGGATGGGGGCGTTCGAGACCTCGGTGTTTATTATTAATAATGGCCCTCGTTGCTATTGACACGCGCCTCTACCCCGACGAGTTTCGTGTCGTCGCGGAAGTGCGCGTGCATCCTCGAGCAGGAATCCCTCGGATGTCCGTGGATTCCAATTTTAACGAGCTCTGTTGCATCCATTGCTGTCAATCTATGATCACGAGGGTGGTAGATTGAAAAGAATGGCACGCCTGCCAGTGCGAGAGCGAACGAGGAAGGGTTAGAGAGCCAGAGAGCTAGAGAGCTAGAGAGTGAGAGAGATAGAGATCGGGGTGGGGGACGCGTATCTAGACACGAATCGAACATTTATCGCTTTCGAAAACAGAGTGTTAAAGAGAGTTCGCCGAGTC